CCCAGGAATAAATCCCATTTGATCATGGTATTCTTTTAAAGTACTATTAGATTCCATTTGCTAGTATTTTGTTCAGATTTTTTGCATACATGTTCATAAGGGATATTGTCCTGGGTTCCCCTTTTTAGTGGGGTCTTTGTCTGGTTTTGGAGTCATGGTAATGGTGGCCTCAAAGAATGATTTTGGAAGTTTTCCTTTCATTTCTGTTTTTTGGAATAGTTTGAGAAGAATGGTATTAACTCTTCTTTCATTGTTTGGTAGAATTCCCCTGTGAAGATGTCTGGCTCTGAACTTTTGTTTGTTGGGAGATTTTTGATTACTGATTCAATTTCTTTGCTGTTTATGGGTCTTGTCTGTTAAAGTTTTCTATTTCTTCCTGTTTTAGTTTTGTAGTTTATATGTTTCTAAGAATTTATCCATTTCTTTCAGATTGCCCAATTTTTTGGCATATAATTTTCCGTAATATTCTCTTATGATTGTATTTCTGTGGTGGGGGTTGTGATTTCTCCTCTTTCATAATTTTGTTTATTTGAGTCATTTCTTTTTTATTTTTTGGTGAATCTGGCTGGGGTTTATCAATTTTATTAATTTTTTCAAAGAACTAGCTCCAGGTTTCGTTGATCTGTCCTACTGGTCTTTTGTTTGTTTCTATATCGTTTATTTCTGCTCTATTCTTTATTATTTCCTTTCTTCTGCTGACTATCAGCTTCATTTCTTACTCTTTTTCTTGCTTCTTTAGGTGTAAAGTTGGGTTGTGTATTTGAGATTTTTCTTGCTTCGTGAGGTAGTCTGTAGTGCTATATATTTCCTTTTAATAACCTCTTTTGCTACATCTCAAAGGTTTTGGACCATCACGTTTTCATTTTCATTTGCTTCCACGTATTTTTTAATTTCTTCTTTAATTTCCTGGGTAAGCCATTCATTTTATAGTAGGATGATCTTAAACCTGCATGTATTTGTCATCTTTCCCAATTTTTTCTTGGGCTTGACTTCAAGTTTCATAGTGTTGTGGTCAGAAAATATGCACTGTATGATCTCAGTCATTTTGTACTTGCTGAGGCCTGATTTGTGACCTGGTATATGATCTGTTCAGGAGAATGTCCCATGTGCACAAGAAAGAAATGTGTATTCTGCTGTTTTAGGATGAAATGTTTTGAATATATCTGTGAAGTCCATCTGGTCCAGTGTGTCATTCAAAGCCCTTGTTTTCTTGATGATCTTCTGCTTAGATGATCTATCTATTGCTGTGAGTGGGGTGTTAAAGTCCTCTACTGTTAATTGTATTATTATCAATGTGTATCTTTACTTTGGTTGTTAACTGATTGGTAGAATTGGCTGCTCCCAAATTAGGAGCATGAATATTTATAATTGTTAGATCTTACTGTTGGATAGACCCCTTTATTATGCTATAGTGTCCTTCTTCATTTCTTATTACAGTCTTTGGTTTAAAATCTAATTTGTCTGATAGAAGTATTGCTACTCTGGCTTTCTTTTTGACTTCCATTAGCATGACAGATATTTCTCCATCTCCTCACTTTTATCTGCAAGTGTCTTTAGGTCTAAAATGAGTCTCTTGTTTTTTATCCATTCTAACACCCTATTGTTTTTGATTGGAATATTTAATTCATTTGCATTCAGGGTAATTATTAATAGATATGAATTTAGTGTCATTTTATTGTTTGTTTTGTCCTTGTTTCTGGAGATTTCCTGTATTCCTTTCTAGTCTTTGTTGCTTTTGGTCTTTCTTCCCTACTCAAAGAGTCCCCTTTAATATTTCTTGCAGGGCTGATTTAGCAGTCATGAACTCCTTTGGTTTTCATTTGTCTGGGAAATTCTCCTTCTATTCTGATTGATAATCTTCCTGGATAGTACATTCTTGGCTGCAGATTTTTCTCATTCAGTACATTGGGTATATCATACCACTTTATTTTGGCCTGACAAATTTCTGTGGATAGGTCTGCTGCTAACTTTTTTTTTGTCTTCCCTTATAAGTTAGGGATTTCTTTTGTCTTGTTGCTTTTAGGATTTTTTTCTTTATATTTTGCAGATCGAACTACAATATGTCTTGGTGTTGGCCTATTTTTATTGATTTTGATGGGAATTCTCTGTGCCTCCTGGATCTGTAAGTCTGTATCCATCCCCAGATTATGGATGTTTTCAGCTATTATTCCTCAAATAAACCTTCTGCCCCCTTCTGGACTCCTTTGGTATGAATGTTACTATTTTTCATGGCATCACGGGATCATGCTTCCATGATCCAAGATTTTTCTTTCCCCCTTTTGATCAGCTTCATTATTTTCCATAATTCTATCCTCTGTATCATTTATTCATTCCTCTGCTTCTTCCATCCTTGTGGTCATTACGTCCAGTCAGTTTTGAATCTCAGTTCTTGTGTTTGTCATTTAGGCTGATAGGTTTTAAGTTCTTTTATCTCTGTGGTAAGGGACTCCCTGATGGGTTCTGTGCTTTTCTGAAGGCCAGCTCGTATCCTTATGATTGTTGCTTTAAATTGTGTGTCAGGCATATTGCTTATACCTGTTTCAATTAGATCCCTAGCTGTGACCTTTTCTTTTTCTTTCTTTTGGGATAAATTCCTCTGTCTTGACGTTTTGTCTAGGTTTCCGTCTTTGGTGTGTTAGAAAAGCTCATTTTGTTTCCAGCCCCTACGAGTAATGGCTTTATGAAGAGAAGGGGTCCATACAGTGTTCAGGACTGGTGTCTCAGGAAGTGACTCTGGTATATGCTGTGTGCACTTAAATACTGTTTTATGGCTGCTCTTTCCCTCAGGTCAGCTGTCTGCAAAGGCTCTCTTAGCCTGCAGTGAGGAGTGTTTGGATCTTGGTCAGAGTGTGGTGAGTTTTAACTAGGTGTGCTCCGGTCTGCTTGTTAAAAGAGACCGAGGCTCCACTGGAGCTGAAGCTTTGCAGAATCTGTGGTCAGTAGTAGTGTGTGTGTGTGTGTGTGTGTGTGTGTGTGTGTGTGTGTGTGTGTGTTGGGGAGGGGGTGTTGTGCTAGTCTTCTGGGGGAGGGACCTGCTGCCCTTGTTCTCAGGCGCACTTGCTCAAGAAAGCAGTAGCAGCAGAATGTAGGGGGTAGGGCTGGGTGTAAGCAATTTAGGCAGCCAGTGTTAGCACAGCTGTTTACTGATGATGGGTTATGCTGAGAGACAGGGGAACTAGCCAGCTCCTTTGTCCCTGAGGAGGAGAGTTCATGCTCACTGCTGTCAGGGTAGCCCTCCCAGAAGAGCAATAATTTCCCCCGTGTGTCCTGGGTGTTTTTCAAATCACTGTTTACACTGTGTCTGGGTTCCTTGCCTGCTTGGACCAGTGCAGTGCACTTTGTGTTCTATCGCAGCCAGGCTGGCTGAATTTTAAAACTCCAAACTTTAGGGACATGGTGTGACGGGGACCTGCACTGGTCTTCTGGGGGAGGGTCTTGCCACACTGGATTGATGGTTTGACCCAGAAGGGCTCACAAGCTTGGGGCCTGGGGCAAAGCACACAGAAGAGCCAGTGCCCACATTAGCTGCCTCAGCAGGTGTCTCTGCACCATGCTGATGGGTGGGGGAGGGAAATGGTGCCTGCTGGTTCTTTTGTCCCAGGATAGGCAATGCCCAGGATAGGCAATGCTCCAAGAAGGGGGATCTTTCTCTCCTGGTATGTCTCAGGTGATCCGTGGATCATGCTGTGGGTCCCTGGGTGACCTGCCTCCCTTCTCTACAGGAAAACTGCAGCGCCCTCGGGCTCTATTCCAGCCACAGCGCGGACCTCTAAAACTCTAGTCTTTGAGCCCTCCTGGTTGTAAAACTCAAAAAAATCAGCCTCTCTCATTTCCCAGCCAGTGGTTTTGGGGAAGTGTTCTCCCTGTGTGACCCCCTGTGTGCTCCTCTGTCTTTTTCTCTCCTCTGTCCAAGACCAAGACCTTTTGCAGCACCTGCGATCATTTTTTTCCCCCAGATCACATCTCTGCACCTCCTACTTTCTGCAGTGTAGCCTCCTCTCTTTCTCTCTAGTTGTGCAGTTTGTTCTGTCAGTCCTCAGCTGGATTTCTTGGGTATGCAGGATGACTTGATATTTATCTGGCTGTGTTCAAGGGATGAGGCAAACCTAGGGTGTGCCTACTACCTACCATCTTAGCTCCCACCAGGACAACTTGAAATTTGTGAGAAAAATTTAAGAAAATTGCAAACATTAAAAAAAGAAGGCCTTGAAATTTGACAGACAGTTCATTCAAGATGCATGTAAGATAAGCTCCTTTTTTTTTATTTTAATTTTTTTTCCTTTGGAGCCTACTTTCTCTCAAATTTTTATATAAGTATGGCCCCATGACTAATGCAGAAGGAGGGTGACATGCAAAGGGGAATATGAAACAGCATAGATCTGATCACAAGAAGTGAGATGGGGGGCGCCTTGCCTGGGCGGCTCAGTTGGCTAAGTGTCCAGCTCTTGATCTCAGCTCAGGTCTTGATCTCAGGGTTGTGAGTTCAAGCCCCATGTTGGGCTCCATGCTCAGCACGGAGCCTACTTAAAGAAAAAAGGAAGTGAGATAGGCCCATATGATGGTGGTACAATACTGAAAGGGACAATGGAGTCCCCAAGGGAAGGGCAGTTAAAGTTCCATGTGGAGCAGGAGAGGATATACAGTAGGAGGGAGCAAGACAGTTATTGGAGAAGGGAAACCTGACCTGGGTTGGAAAAGGAAGGACAAGAGCAGGTAAGGAGGGGGGAAAGTGTGGGGAACCAGAAGTAGATAAGTTTAGTTGCAGGTTTGGGTACCACAAAGGTGAACAGTGAGAAGTAAGTTTGAGGTCAAATGATGCATGGCCTGAATCTCCAGTGTATGCAGTTGGATCCTTAGAACAATTATAACATACTCAGAAAACAGTATAGTAAACATAAAAATAAAAATTTTATCTGATCTGCATTTTTTCAGCATAATGTATGTAGTGAGCTGGGTATAGTTTCCTCTATTATTATATGAAATTTTTATTTTTTTTTCAGGCAGAAGCTGACAACATTGTGACTTTGCAGCCATTTAGAGATAAATGTGAACCTGTTTTTCTCTTCAGTGTTGTAAGTATAATATTTATCACCTCAAATATGTGATCAGATTCTAATTTATAGTTAAATAGCAAGTAGCATTGTAAAATTACCATGGAACTATTTTCTGATTGTAGTAATCATAGATTTCTTTTGCCTTATCTTTGCTTGTCTATTTTTTTAAAATTTAATTTCTTTTCGGTGTAACAGAATTCATTGTTTTTTGCACCACACCCAGTGCTCCATGCAATACGTGCCCTCCTTAATACCCACCACCAGGCTTCCCCAACCTCCCACCCGCCGCCCCTTCAAAACCCTCAGATTGTTTTTCTGAGTCTCTCATAGTCTCTCATAGTTCATCTCCCCCTCCAATTTCCCTCAACTCCCTTCTCCTTTCCATCTCCCCATGTCCTCCATGTTATTTGTTATGCTCCACAAATAAGTGAAACCATATGACAATTGTCTGTTAATATATTTCATAACTTGTCCTCTAGGAGCATGTAATGGGTGCATCATGCACTGAATTGATCAGAGAAAAGAAAAATAAAATGGTATTTAGCTTTTCTGAGGAAATAATCAGAGATTTGTGTGATGAGTTGTTATTTACGGGAGTGAAAAGTTGGAAATTTCTTCACTACTCAGTAGCAGAGAATTGGTTCTAAGTATTCATGCATGCTAATACAAGGACATAGCTGTCTGATTACTATTAGTAATATATGTTCCTCCTGTCTCTGCATGTACAAATGTGTAGAAAGAAGAGAGGAAGAGCAGTTCCCAGATTATCAGTAGTAGCTTTCTGTATATGGGGAAAGGATGTAGTAGTTAAGTTTTTTTCTTGATACTTTTTTTATGTTTTCCCCAAATTCTGTGATGAATATACAATCTTCATAATCAGGAAGACATAATAAGTGCTATTTTCCAGAAGGAGAGTATTTACATTTCAAAGCTATGTGACACAGAGTGTAGCTGCTCTATAGAGCTAGAGAGTTGGGTATAGTAAGGAAAGGCTTCCCAGACAGGGCTTGGGCTCTTCTTTTACTATTGGATACTTGGATTATTATTTTTTTGTACTGGAAATCATTACTTTATTTTATTTAAAAAATTTTTAAGATTTATTTATCTCTGTCAGAGAGAGAGAGAACAAAAGTAGGGGAAGCAGCAGGGAGCCCAATGTGAGACTCAATCCCAGGACCCTAAGATCATGACCCTAGCCATAGGCAGATGCTTAATTGACTGAGCCTCCCAGGCATCCCTAGAAATCATTATTTTAAAAACACTTCTTGGATAGAACATTTTGCTTCTATGAAATAATGATTTTGCAACAATTTCAAGGAATTGAATTACTGGGTTAATTGAGTTTTAAAAATTGCATTGCAGGTTTTGCTCTAAGTCGGACATGTAGAATTTGGTGATTTAGGTGAGGGGTCATCCAGCTCTTTTGATAAAGGGCCAGATAGTATTTTCAACTTTGGCAAAATATAGTCTCTGTGCTGGGTCATTGTTTTCTCACCCTTGGCCTAGACATAGTTTAGGGAACCAGAGTGAGTAACATGCAAAAATAGGCTTGGTGGGCTAATATTAGGAACAGTGAGGAGACTAGTAGCAGTTAGGAGTGTGGGACTGAGGAAGAGAGACGGGGCAGGGGGACTATCATGTAGAGTCTGGAGCTCTGGGACCACCATCACCCTGCCTGGTTGGGTAGCTCTGATCAGGAGACCAAGCCCACCCTCCTTAACTGGCCCATCCAGTCCGCATTGTCTTATCTGCAATCCGTGCCTGGACTATAAGTCCTCCCTTCCTTCCAGCCCTGTATAGTTCATCCTTCTCATGCTCAGAATATTTTTTTCCTGACCAGTTCTCCCAGTTCTCTACCACCTTGCAAAGCCTTTCACTGTGTTACTTCTGTAATTGAGACGAGCAATTAGCACACTTTCTAAGATCTTTCATTATGGCTTTTAGCCTTTTACTCCATTTTGTTGACTTTGGTTAAGTGTCTTTACTTAGAACATACTTCTTTGGAGCCCAGAGTGATGACTGTTTTCTCAGATTGTGTGTCTCAAGGCCAGGAGTAGAATTATATTCCCTTTATTTCTTCTTACTTCAATAACTTTTTTTCCTGCTAATTAGAGGTCTCTTCCTTGCTAACTTAGCTATTCGGCTAAACCTCCTTCTCTCCCCCACCTCATCCCTGTCATTTACTGGTCTTTAGATCAATCCTATCGATGACTGAGGACTTTGGCATGAGGACTCAAACCCCTTTGAAAAACCCTGTCCTGCCATCCTCCCGGGGACCCTGGCAACCCTCCCACATCCTGGCCTCTCCATCCTGGCCTCTGCTGCCAATGAACTTTTCTCCAGGGCACCTTTCAGCCAGTTGCTCACGCAGTCATGCTCCATATCCACTTTGCTCCATATCCAAAGTCATTCATCTAAGAATCTCAGTCTGTGCCCACAAAGCCACCAGCAAGCCCATCGCTTGTTTATATGGATATTACCACAGTGGCTCTTGGTATTGCTCAACACACAGAGCTGACGACAAATTCATCCAGCAAGTTTCAGCAGGAAGAGCTTTTTCAAGGGACATTAGAAAGTCTCCAGAATTGTTGGAAGGTTCCTTCTGGTGGGAAATGGTAAGTAGATCGCAGTATTGATTCAAGCCTTTCTCAACTGGATCCTTCTCATTGCCCTTTGAAGGTGATGATCTATTTCCAGTTAAAAAATAATGCTTAAAAAAATTTTTTTTATTTATTTCTTTTCAGTGTTCCAGAACTCATTGTTCATGCACCACACACAGTGCTCCATGCAGTATTTGCCCTCCTTAATACCCACCACCAGGCTCACCCAACCTCCCACACCTTTCCCCTCCAAAAGCCTCTGTTTCTCAAAGTCCATAGTCTCTCGTGGTTCGTCTCCCCCTCCAATGTACCCCAACTCACTTCTTTTCATCTCCCCATGTCCTCCATGTTATTCCTAAGGAATAATGCTTCTTTTGGATGCCTCTCTCCAAGTACCACCCATCTCTCTCCTTTGTCTCACAGCTAAATTTCACAGAAGAGTTTGAATATTTATTTTTACTCCATTTTTTTCACATCCCATTAATGCCTCAACCCATTCCATCTGCCTTCTGTCCGATTATTCAAGCAGATTTGCTGTTGCTAGTGTACCCAATTACCAGCCTATTATTACATAAATGGCCACTTTTAGGCCCATCATGCTATACCTCTCAAGTGTATTGCATGTGGTGGCCATGCCCTAGGAGGGCATGAAACATTGGTTACTTTTGATTTCGTTACTTGGTTTCCCTGCGCCTACCTAGATGTTATTCCCCTCCATCTCCTTTGCAGATTTACCTTTCTTTATCCAGCCCTTAAATATTTATCTTATCATGCTATACATGCCCCTTAGAAAATTTCCTCCACACAGTTTCAGTTGTCACCACCTACGTATCGAGAACTCAACTTTATCTCTTCAGCTAATTCCTATACTTTGAGCTCCAGACTTGTATATCCAACTGATGCTTTGACTTCCCCTCTGTTGTCTGAAGGGCCTTTCATAAAGGATTGGTCCAATACCAGACCCTCCCCCCTCCGCCCTGCCAGGAAATGTGGTCTTCTAAGTGTCACCACATTGGTTGATTAATATCTTAATTTATCCACTTTCTTGACAGAAACAGAAAACTCAGCCTAGTGACATCTCTGTACATCACACCCAATCCATTCCAGACCTCAGACTTGTCAATTTCACCACCCAAGTCTTTCTCATACTCGTCTGTGTCTTTCCATTCTTTCTATCTCCATCACCAGTGCCACAGACTGAGCAACCATCTCTCTCACAGTCATCTCTAGAATAACTCCTAATGTGTATACAAGTATCTTCTCCCCTCTAACTCTTTCTAAACATGGTAGGTGAAATGATCGTTATTTATTTTTTAAAAAATATTTTTATTTATTTATTTGAGAGAGAGAATGAGAGAGGGAAAGAGAGCATGAAAAGGGGAAGGGTCAGAGGGAAAAACAGACTCCCCATAGAGCGGCAAGCCCAACATGGAATTCCATCCCGGGATTCCAGGATCATGACCTGAGCCCAAGGCAGGTGCTTAACTAACTGAGCCATCCAGGTGCCCTGAAATGATCTTTGACAATTAACAGTTCAAATTGTGGTCACTGGCTCTATTTAAACATGCCTAAGGCTTCCCACTGCAGTTAGGTTAAAAGCTGTATGATTCCGAGACCCACAAGCCTCTGCATGGTCTTTCTCCCCCTCGCAATTAGGCTTCATCTCATACCACGCATCCCCTCACTTTCTTGGCTGGTCTTCTCATTTGCCATATTCCCTTCTGGGGAATTCCTCAGGACTGTTGCATCTCTATTCCTTTTGCCTGGAATGTTCTTTCTTCTCCATTTTGCCTTGTTATCCCTTACCCATCCTACATGTTTTAACTGAAGAATCCCTTCCTGGTATCGATAAGCAACTTTGCTGATCTCCTTGACCAGGACACATTCTTGTAGATGCTCTCAGTGCTTTGTACTTGGTGGTACTTGTCAAGGTTGTTATATTACATATGTTTGTCTGTGTTTTTTTTTTTTTTTTCTCCTTTTTGGTAATTTAATTACGCCACATACCAGGATTGCTGTTCCATACCATCATGCTTGGAACAGTGCCAGTAAACAGGTTTTTGTGAATATGTGTTGAAAGATGGACAAAAGGGGGCATAGTGTAAAAAATAATTAGGGAAGGTAATATTGGGCGGCCTGTACAGAACCATCGAACATAATGCAGGGATGCTTTGCCTTTGGTTGTAGGAGAACAGATATCGTGGAGGGAGAATTCAAAGAGCTGGGTTTTTCAAATCAAGATGTAATTTCCTATCACTAATACTTTATTTTAAAATGGCTAATTATAATAGCTAGAAAGGATTGGTGGGGTGTAGGGCTGGGTGGGATGACTTCGTCAAGTTGAATACCAGACTTTTCCTAAAAATGGAAGTTTCCTTCATGCTTTCTTTTCCCGTATAGAATGGCAAAATTGTTGCAAAGATCCATGGTGCAAATGCACCACTTGTTAATCAAAAAATTATTAACTTGGTCGAAGAGGAGAAGAAAATTGCAGCAGGTGAAATGGTTCGACCTCAGGTAATTCTTTACAGTTTTATTCTTAAAAAAGTGCATTACATATTTTTTGTTGTATTTTCCCAAGTTTTATAACCATCTAGGTGTCTGAATGATACAGACTTTCTGGTAGGTATTTTGGCAATATGAATCAAAAGCCTTAAAAAACTCCTGTGTTCTTTGACTGAACAATAACACTCCAATAATTTTTCCAACAAAGATAATAAGACAAATATAGAAAACAGCACTTATAGCACAGTTGTTTGTTATTAAAAATTTGGTATCAGTCTAAATGTCGAGCCATCCCCAGGTGCCAGGGTGTTTCAGTTGGTTAAGCATCTGTTTTCAGTTCAGGTCATGATCTCAGAGTTTTGGAATCAACCAGAGAGCCTGCTTCTCCCTCTCCCTTTGCCCCTCTTCCCTGCTCGCGTGCTCTCTCTCTTTTGCTCTCTCTCAAATAAAACAATAAAAATCTTTAAATGTCCAGCATTGCTGAGCAAGTTCCATAAGATGTCTGTAATTCTTGTCATAAATTATACAAATCCATGCAGTGGAATATTATTTAGTGTGTTCTGGCTCAGTACTTACTGTTATGGAAAGAGGACCAAGATCGATTGGCAAATGAAAACAAGATATCACTTTGCTAGGACACTTAGAATAAGATCCTGTGTGGGAAGTGTATCATTTATGTAATGAAAGATAAACTATTTAAAAATTAAGAAAGAAGCTACAAAGCATGTGGAGGTATGAACACAATAGTATTAGAAAGGAAGCCACAGAGGAAAGTGATCAGAAATACAGGCAGATAAGGAAGAGCTATAGGTGTTAGGGAAATGAACACACCTGAGCTTGTGCACGTGCTCATGTGCACACACACAATACATCTGTGCACGCCAAACCAACCACAAGAGCAAGAAGGGAAAGTATGAACTTAAAAAGTGGAAAGTAGAGGCAAGAAATACTGAAAAATAGAAAGAAGAAGGTACAGGTTCAAGGTTGTATTAAGTATTTGTTATAAAAAGTTTCAGTTTAAATAAGGAAAGGATTAAAAAAATTTGATAAACAGACTTAGGAATATTGGGTTAGATCTTTGCATAAGAAATGTGTACCATTTTCTCATATCATGTACATAAATTACAGAGTTGGTTATGAAGAAACAAGCATGAAAGTATTAGAAGAAAGTACTGGTGAATGTTTGTATTGCTGTAGGTTGAGGAAGGCATTGTAAGCATAACACAAGAGATATCAAAAAAGGTAAAATTGATAGATTTGATTATTTAAAACCTTGAAGTGCACCCTAAAATGTAAAAGGAAAACAACAAACTGGGAAAAATTCTTGTACTCTATGTCAATGTGCTAATACCCATACCATGCACAAAGTACTTTTTGGGTTGAGTGTTAAGAAAAAAATGAACTTTTGGGGAATTTACATTTATAATAGTGATTTTTCATATCCAAAGACATTTTTCTTTGCTTTTCAGGTTTTCTTGTCAGGGAATCTTCTCCCTTCCCTTTTCTTTGTCTGTGTCTCCCTCTCACTGCTGCACCCCTCACCCCATTCCCACTTGTTTGTGAAAATTGTAATAACTAGGAATTACTGAGGAGCTGTTGCTTGCCAAGATTTTAAAAGAGATCTCCTCATTTAATTTAGACAGAAATCTTTCCTTCCTAGTTATATTGAGATATAACTGACAAATAACATTGTATTAATTGAAAGTATATGACATAGTGATTTAATATGTCTATACTGTGAAATGATCACTGAGTTTAACATGTGTCACCTTCCCTAGCTACAGTTTTTTTTGTTGTTGTTGTTATGATGAAGACTTTCAAGATCTACTCTCTTAGCAGCTTTCAAGTATACCATACAGTATTATTAGGAATAGTCACCATGCTGTGTGTTACACTGTCAGAACTTACTTATCTTATAACTAGAGGTTTATACCTTTGGGCACCTTCACCCAATTCCTCCACTTCCCACCCTCTACCTCTGGTAACTGCCATTCTGTTCTTTGTGTTTATGAGTTTAGGTTTTTTTTTTAGATTCCACATATTAGTGAGATCATATAGTATTTGTCTTTCTCTGTCTGACTGGTCTCATTTAGCATAGTGCTCTCTAGGTCCATCTGTGTTGTCATAAATAGTAGGATTTCATCCTTTGTTATGTCTGAGTAATATTTCATTGCATACATATGCCACATTGTCTTTATCCATTCATCCATTGATGGACATTTAGGTTGTCTGCATATTTTGGCTATTGTGAATAATCCTACAGGGAACATGGGTATGCACATAATTTTTTTTTTTTTTTTTTTTTTTTTTTTGAGAGAAAGAGACAGGGGAGGGGCAGAGGGAGAGAGAGAATCCCAAGCAGTCTCCAACCACAACTGCCTGGAGCTCCTGTGGGGCTCTATCCCACGACCCTGAGTTCATGACCTGAGCTGAAATCAAGAGCAGGATGCCCAACGACTGAGCCATCTGGACGCACTCACACTCTTTGAGATAGTGATTTCATAGTTGATCATAGTAGTCTCTTAAGATCCTTTGTATTTCATGTGGTATATCTTTTTAAATGTCTCCTCTTGCTTATCTTTTTCTTTTAATTAATTAATTAATTTTAAAGATTTTATTTATTTGACAGAGATCACAATTAGGCAGAGAGACAGAAGAGAGAGAGGGGGAAGCGGGCTCCCTGCTGAGCAGAGAGCCTGATATGGGGCTCGATCCCAGGACCCTGAGATCATGACCTGAGCCAAAGGCAGAGGCTTTAACCCACTGAGCCACCCAGGCGCCCCCGTCTCTTGCACTTCTAATTTTATTTATTTGAGTCCTCTTTTTTCCTTCACAGTCTAGCTAAATGTCGTTTTATTTTTTTAAAAAGCCAGCTTTCAGTTTCATCGAGTTTTCTATTATCTGTGTAGTATCCATTTTATTTATTTCTCCTCTGAACTCTGTTATTACCTTCATCTATTAACTTTGACTCCATTAGGTCTCTTTTTCTAGCTTCTTAAAATGAAAAGTTAGGTTGTATATTTGAGATCTTTTTTTTTTTCTTAATGTAAGCATTTATCACTATAAACTTCCTTCTTAGAACTCTTGTTGCACTTTGACAGTTTTGGTATGTAGTATTTCCATTTTCATTTGTCTCAGGTGCTTTCAAATTTCTCTTTTGATTTCTTCTTTTACCCATTGGTTGTTCAGTAGCCTGTTTAATCATCACAGATTTGTGAATTTTCCAGGTTTCTTCTTATAGTTGGTTTCTAGTTTCATACTGTTGCAGTGGAAAAAGATGCTTGATATGGCCTAACATGTGGTCCGTCCTGGAGAATGTTCCATGTGCACTTGAGAAGAATGTGTCTTCTGCTGCTTTTGGGTGGAATGTTTTGTAAATGTTAAGTCCACCTGGTCTAACATATAGCTTAAGTCCACTGTTTTCTTACTGATTTTTCTGTATGGGTGGTTTATCCAAATGTAGCTGGTTGCACTGAACCCAACAACTGAACCCCTCTGATGGCCGCTGTAGTCAGGCTGTAAGGGATGTGTCCTTTGGGAGCACCCACAAAGGCTGGGGTAGGTTGCCAGATGTGTGCTCAAGCCATCTTCACATGGACATCACCCACCTTCTGCAGGGCAGAGGGAAGGTGCCAAGATAGTGCTTGGTACCTGTCATCCTACCTGGTCAGAGAGGACTACAGTCAGCCCTAGATCTGTGTTCATTTATGAGCTTGCCTCTCAGCCTACAGCTTTTAAGAGTTTCAAATAGGCTTCTTTCAGAGAAAACTGGGCATGTCAGTGAGCTGCCTGTGCACTGAGCCCTGATGGGATAGCCACAGCCCGTCCTTATCAGCCTGTTAAGAACTGTTTGTTTACTCTAGCCTCTTGGGACTCATGGACACAAGCCATATTTGGCTTTCAGAGGTAGGGATTTGGAGGACCTAGCTCTCAAATGGAAGTCTTGAAATTTGGCACATTATAGGGTGAGTCTAAACCCAAGTGTGTGTCGCTGTGGTGATGGTGAAGTTGATGGTGAAGTTGTGTCTGAAACTCTTCTACTCTCCTACCCGTTTCAATATGGGTTCCCCCCCCCCCCAACTCATTTGCCTGACATGTGGGAGTTGCTTAGCCTTTCTCCGGATTTCTTTCAGGGGAAATTTTTTTTATATAGAGCTGTGGATTTGGTGTGTTTATGGGAGGAAGTTAAGTTCAACCTTTTATATTGCCATCTTGAATGGGAATCTCAAGAAATCTTATGAGAGATGGGGCACCTGGGGGGCTCAGTTGTTAAGCATCTGCCTGTGGCTCAGGTCATGATCCCAGGGTCCTGGGATCAAGCCCCACACTGAGCCCTGTATCGGGCTGCCCACTCGGTGGGAGGCCTGCTTCTCCCTGTCCATTCCCCTTGCTTGTGTTCCCTCTCTTGCTGTTTCTCTCTGTTAAATAAATAAATAAAATCTTTAAAAAAACCCCAAATCTTATGAGATAGTTACAAATAATAAGACAAGGCTTTAAAAACATTAAGTCATTTCCCCAAAAACAGACAGCTGGTAGGTGTTGAAACCAGAATTTGATGTCAGGCAGAGTAACTCCTAAATATATACTCCTAATTGCTATATTCTATGTACCTTTCTCTGTGTATACTCTGTTCTCTGGTTATGTTGTTGTTCTGGTTGTTCTTACAGAATGATATCCAGTTTTAATTAATAACAATTGAATGTAAGAAATGTATTAATATGTTTATTTTATATTACTCCACTTTGTTGAATGCTTCTGTTGTTTAACTTTCTTATTTAATTGACTGGTCTAGCACAGCCCTGTCTGATAGTAAAAAAAATACAACTCATGTTGTGAGTCACATACATAATTTAAAATATTCTACTAATCATATTAAAAGCAACAAAGAAAAAAGGAAATTATTATTATTTTTTCTTTTCAAATATTTATTTAAATTCTAGTTAGTTAACATATAATGTAATATTGGTTTCAGGAGTAGAATTCAGTGATTCATCATTTACATACAACACCCAGTGCCCATCACAACAAGTGTCCTTCTTAATGCCCATCACCCATCTAGCCCATCCCCCGCACACCTCCTTCCATCAACCCTGTTTGTTTTCTATCGTTGAGAGTCTCTTATAGCTTGCTTCCCCCTCTCTCTTTTTTTAGAAAAAAAGTGAAATTAATTTTTAATCCTATATATTAAAAAGATTCCCATTTAAATATGTACTCAATATAAAAAATAAGAGGGGAACCCTCTTACACTGTTGGTGGGAATGCAAGTTGGTGCAGCCACTTTGGAAAACAATGTGGAGATTCCTCAAGAAATTAAAAATAGAGCTTCCCTATGACCCTGCCATTGCAGTACTGGATATTTACCCCAAAGATACAGATGTAGTGAAAAGAAGGGCCATCTGTACCCCAATGTTTATAGCAGCAATGGCCACGGTCGCCAAACTGTGGAAAGAACCAAGATGCCCTTCAACGGACGAATGGATAAGGAAGATGTGGTCCATATACACTATGGAGTATTATGCCTCCATCAGAAAGGATGAATACCCAACTTTTGTAGCAACATGGACGGGACTGGAAGAGATTATGCTGAGTGAAATAAGTCAAGCGGAGAGAGTCAATTATCATATGGTTTCACTTATTTGTGGAGCATAACAAATAGCATGGAGGACAAGGGGAGATGGAGAGTAGAAGGGAGTTGAGGGAAATTGGAAGGGGAGGTGAACCATGAGAGACTATGGACTCTGAAAAACAATCTGAGGGTTTTGAAGGGGTGGGGGGTGGGAGGTTGGGGGAACCATGTGGTGGGTATTGGAGAGGGCACGTATTGCATGGAGCACTGGGTGTGGTGCAAAAACAATGAATACTGTTACGCTGAAAAGAAATAAAAAATTAAAAAAGGAATAAGGTATTCTGCAATCATTTTTTCTTTCTTTTTTTTTTAAGATTTTTATTTATTTATTTGACAGACAGATCACAAGTAGGCAGAGAGGCAGGCAGAGAGAGAGAGGAGGAAGCAGGCTCCCCACTGAGCAGAGAGCCCGATGTGGGGCTTGATCCCAGGACCCTGGGATCATGACCTGAGCCGAAGGCAGAGGCTTTAACCCACTGAGCCACCCAGGTGCAATCATTTTTTCATACTAAATCTTCGGAATGTACTGTGGAGCTATCGCTTATAGCACTTCTTAATTTGGACTAAGTTCATTTTCAAGTGCTGAAATAGCCTTATGTGGTTAGTGGCTGCTCTATCAGCCAGCACATGTCCAGCAAATATAAAGTCAGATCGATTTGAAGTTATAGCTGTTATAATTATCTTATTCCTGGTTATAATAAGAATGAGAGCTTCCAGTATAGTCATTTCCATACATTTTGAAGTCTTTATGTCATCGAGACTCTGAAATTATGCACTCTCTTGCCAGAAAAATGTATATATGTAAATATATAAACCTTTCAGATAGTTAAAACAGAATCACAGAAGCACTTTAAGGGCTTCTCAAGAAATTAAGGAACTCCCATCCCTATCCTTCCCAGTGTTTTACTTTATAGTAGAAAATTGGTTATTGTTTTGAGCAAGACAGTTTTTTAAAAGTTAAGGAGGTATTTTTCTGTTTCTAGTTTATTAAGGGAAATGGTCAGGATCGGATCTTGAAACTCATTGAATGCCCTTTTGATCTTTAACATGATAATTATGTATCTGTTGCTTTCTTTCTATTTATTTATTTATTTGAGAGAGAGAGAGAAAGCATGCAGGGGAGGGGCAAAGGAGAGGGAGAGAGAGAATCTCAAGCAGACTTCCCACTGAGCATTGAGCCCAATGTGGGCTTGATCCCATGACCCTGAGATCATGACGTGAGCCGAAACCAAGAGTTGGATGCTCAACGAACTGAGCCACCCAGGCGCCCCTAATTTATTGCTTTGTTATTACTTTCTGCTTCTTTCTTATTTTATTCCTTGTGCTCTTTCTAAGTTTTAAGGTTTTTTTTTTTTTAAGATTTTATTTATTTATTTGACAGACGGAGATCACAAGTAGGCAGAGAGGCAGGCAGAGAGAGGTGGAAGCAGGCTCCCCACCAAGCAGAGAGCCCAATGCAGGGCTCAATCCCAGGACCCTGGGATCATGACCTGGGCCGAAGGCAGAGGCCTTAACCCACTGAGCCACCCAGGCGCTCCAAGGTTTTTGGTTTTTAATCAGTTTCCATATGTATTATTTCTGATAACCTTACCATCCTAATCATTTTAAACATTCCTTTTTTTTTTAAATTTCAGTGGAAAGATGGGGAAAAGTAGTGTTAGATATATGTGGGCACATTTCCACTTTACCCTTTATCCCTTGGATTATAAATATTTATTAGAACAAAATTTCTAAAAACTCTTTTCCTATCATATTAAAATGTAACTTCTACTTGCATTTCTCTTCCACAGTATCATGAAATTCTGTTTGTAGACCCAGATGAGGATAATGGTGGGGATGCACCCAGTGAAAGTGTTGGTAAGTAAAGTTCCTGCAGGGTAACGGCAAAGGATTTGTGTACAGGGATGTTCAGTAGAGCACTAGTTGTAGGACCAGAAAAGCTGGTGGTGACCGCAATGTTATTGTTACGGGACTGGCAGGATAATACTAGACTCTGTTACTAACAAGCAAACCTTTTGCTCCCCTTGCCTTCCCTTTGGTCTCTGTGCCTGCAGCCTTCAGAGGTTACCCAGGACCAGGGGTTCCTGTCTCCTGTGACTAATGAGACAGCAGCCTCCTCGTATTTCATCCTTCATCTTCTTCTAAAACCTTGTGAAAATAATTTCTTCCTCAATGACCCACATGTCAGTTTACTTTACAGTTTAAAACTTTCCTCCTGGATTGTCTGCATAGATGTGTGAGTGTGTGTTCTTACTTAGGAGGGAGCAGAGATGGTGTCCTCAGTGGGCTGTCGTGCACTAAAAGCTCATCATAAGAATGTGTAGATAGGGGTGCCTGGGTGGCTCAGTGGGTTAAGCCTCTGCCTTCAGCTCAGGCCATGATCTCAGAGTCCTGAGATCAAGCCCCGCATGGGGCTCTCTGCTCGGCGGGAAGCCAGCTTTCCCCTCTTTCTCTACCTGCCTCTCTGCTTACTTGTGATCTCTCTCTCTCTCTCTCTGTCAAATAAATAAATCTTAAAAAAAAAGAATGCATAGATAAATGTAGATAAATCTGTAGATGGTGAAATCCATCAGTCTGTTGTGTTTGCTTGTGTTGAAACTCCACTCATCAGTGAGTGATACTATGATTTTAATGCATGTGAATTATATTAAAATAACTAGTGCCCATCTAACTCTTTTTTTTTTTTTTTTTGCCTCGGGACCACCAATTTTTGTGAATGTTTCTCCTGCATGCAAATACAGGAACTGCACTTTGATTCTAAGGAGAACCTTTGGTAGTTGGAGTGCCGTAATAACAACTAAGCTGTCAATGAAAAAAAACTCACTGCACCTTAATAATTTACATTTCTAATTGCCAAAACCTTCATTTTCTAGACTTCCAAGAAAATGAAATTCTCTTTTTTTCCCCTAGATCAACTCTACTGTATTGCTATTATCAAACCTGATGCTGTGATTAGTAGAATATCTCAAGAGATTAAACAAAAAGTAAGTGATATTTCCCCACAATACTTTAAATTAATTGCAACATAACAACGTCTGGACTGTCAGTTTGGAGACAAACTTATCATTTAGAGTGAAATGGAACATAACAAATTTCTGGTGCTAGGTACCTCCAAAGGCTTGGAATGTTTTGTCTTGACAAAAGTCAGACTTACTCAAGTATCTTTATTTAAAGAACTCTGCTCTACCAGCGTCTAATATAAATGATAAAAATTACAGTTGTTATATTGGATTATAACAAATGTTCTTCCTGCTTAGTTGTTAACGATGGAAACTTGTTATAAGTTTACACTGGCTTGTTTTGTTTTCTGTATGTTGTGACAAACGTATGGTCTTTTTTAGATACATGGTAGAGTAAGGAAGCATTTAATGTTTTGGCTTGCTTTAGAGCTAAAATAAATTTTTGTAAGAGGAAAACTGTATTCTACTCCAAAGATCCGCAGACTTTTCCTAGAAAGGGCCAGAGAGTAACTGTTTTCAGGTTTGTGGGGCATATGATCTCTGTCACCACTGCTGAGCTGTCATCACATTGAGAAAGCAGTGTAGGTAGGACGGAAATGAATGGGTGTGGCCACGCTCCAATAAACTTCATTTCCAAAGGCAGGTGGTGGGCCAGATGTTGACTGCAAGCTGTACTTTGCCGACTCTTTAGCAATGACTTTGTGTTGACGCAGCAACAGTAAATTGAAATTTGAAAGACTGTTGCCTGGAGAATAGAGGAGGTCACCTAGGGAGATACCAGGAGGGGTTGGCCATCCCTTGATGAACTTCCCATCATGCACTCCTTCTTTAGCTACAGCAGCACGATCACTGATTAACCTATGAGAAGGTCGTTGGTTCATGGTCATGGGATGTATGGTCTCTTCTTTTTGTGCATTGATTTAATAATATCACTCTCTAAGGATAGCCCTTTTCTTCCAGATTTTGGTGTATGTGTGGGGGCATCAAACCGCACCCCCACCCCCTATGGATTACTTATACTTTATAAACTTTTTTTTTTTTTTTACTTTATAAACTTTAAAAAAGTAGTATCACATAGTCATGGTTTACTGTTCCTTATTCGAGCACATTTTGATTAGCTAGGACAGTAAAGCTTTTCAAAGTTATATAGTTCTTTCAGTTGGGGCAATTCTATTAAGCGTAAGTTCACCTGCAACTGCCCCTCAGAACAATGTATTACTTAAAATATAACCCATGGGAAATTTTACTAGTTACCAAGCACATTTAGATATGGCCGTGAGAAAAACACATACTGGCAACAGGCCTTTGGGGGAGAGGACGATACACGGCCTTGAAGCTGAGCAGCTGGGAACGCCCGCCCGCTCAGGGCGCAAGGCCGCCTGCTTCAGTTTTCCCTTATCTCCCCTTTATGCCCGGAGAGCACCAGTGGCTAATTAGATAAGTCCTTTAAAGGTGCTTGTTCCACTATAAACTTTATACTGCTTGTAGAGACATATTTTGCCCTCCTTCTTGTTTATCTACAAGGCCTATGACCAATGTTTGTCTTTCTTCGGCTCTTCTGTGGGTTACCGACCATTTCTATCTAATAAAAGCGAGACTGAGCAATTGTTCAGGGCAACAGTCTTTTCTACTGTCGTCCCCTGCTCCCTTTCTCTTGCAGCTGACTTGTTTGTGCCTCATTCTTCTCCCGTGTGCCGACAGGAAGTGGCATTCATCTTAATATTTTTGTTTTGAGATAGAAAATAACACTTCAGAGATGTAAATTATGAATATCTCCTGAATATCTCACCTCTCTGGAATACGGTAATGGGCTAACAGCCAACAGGACAAAAAAAAGGGAGAATATTTTGAATCGAAATAAATGAACACACTACATATTTAAATTACAGTAAAGGAAAGCTTATTGAGTTTAAATATTGATTGTTTGGGTTTTACTTTCTGTTGTCAGACACTAAGTAATGTAAAAAGACATGATTTGAGTATTTGGAAATTATTCAAATTAGACTGGCAGGAGAGGGTTCAGAAGGATGTACATAGTGCTCTGCCGTATCAGAAGACCAGTGGAAACCAGTACAGTATTTAGTTTCATAACAGAAGCAGGAGGCACCTGGTGCTGGATATGCCCGTCAAGCTGTAATTACTGAGTTGCTTTGAACCTGGATTATACTTACATTATATTATTTGGTACCTCAGTAGACTTGTCATATTTGCTTCAAACTTCTCCTTGTTACATTTTACTGTACTTGACATGCAAACTGGATTTGTCTTTACGTTTTTTGTTTTTTTTTTTGTTTTGTTTTGTTTTTTGAAGATAGAGCATGGCTAAATCTTAAATTCTGGCCTTTCCCATAGTTTGGATAGTGGTTTTTTTTTTTTTTTTGGCGATGAAGTGTAAAATATACTAGATTATGAGTGACAGCCTCAACAAAGGAAAGCTTTTTAAGAACTAATGTTAAGAAAAAATAAAGAACTAATGTTAAACCAATTTTGAAGGTAGATGGTTAAAAGCGCTTATAAACGTGTCTTTGTGACTGATTCAGAAAGTACGGTATCTTCCCTTGGAATTTACTTAGTTCTTTCATGTTTTGGGGCAATTCACTTAATGGAAATACTACAGAGTCTCTGGTTTGAGCTTTGAAAACTTATAGACCAGGAGGTATGATGATGACCTTCTTTGTTTACGTAGTTTTGAGCCTCTTCAGACCTAGTGCCCTATGGGTCGTGCTGAAGTCATTACCTGAAATGTGTTCAAATCTGGATGGTTTGTTAAACACAGGGAAGAAATGTCCTTGCCTTGTCTTACATGTGCTCCCCTCTGCGCCTGGATCCGACTCTCTCTGTGAAGATCATCAAGGCAGGCTTTGTCATAGAAATGGAGGATAAGAGATTGCTCACTGAACAACAAGTAAGGGACTTCTATCATCGGATAGCAGACCAGGTAAGGAAATTAGACACAAACGAAAAGAAGCTGCTGTGTTTTCAAATGCAGCCGCAAAACAAGAGCGGATGGTCCGACTGGTCTTTGTTGGAGTGAAGCTCTGTTCGGCTTACGTACTCTCAGACTCCCTGCATCAGCCCCTGGACGTGAACATCCAGGCCTTTCCTATAGATTTTTATCCCCGGATGAAAGCTCCTTCTCATAACCCTCATAGGGAAGTCTTCATCCTTTCCTTACCTAAAGGCCTATGTCCCAAGTTCTGTTCTTTTCTGCCTCGGGGAGTATAAGAAAGGAGTGCTGTGTATTGGAAAGGGCAGTGGTTTGGGGGTCAGAAGACAGAGTTTCTGGAAATCTCCTGCCCAGTCTGGTAGCCATCAGTTACGCGTGGCCATTTGAATTTAAATTCACTAAAATCAAATCAAGTAAAACAAGATTGAGAGTTTTCGGTTGCACTGGCCACGTTTCAGGGGCTCAGTAGCTGCACGTGGCTACACGTGTTGGAGAGCCCAGAAAAGCATATTTTTCATCAGAGAAAGTTCTAGTGAACGGCACTGTGTCAGCTGGCTGTGAGACTCAGGCCGCCTCTGTTGGTCCCAGGAAAAGGTCGGACCCTCTGGCTCAACATCATGTGGGAACTTTTGAGTCAATCCACTTCCAAAGCCCTCCCCTCAACCTCCATGGTCCTGAACTCTGGGATTGGGCTTCTCAGTTCTGTGTTTTAACAAGCCCGGCAGAGGATTTGGAAGCATCCTGAAGTTTGAGAATGGTTATTAGACCATCCTTAAGGTCAGTCCCTGTGAGCTCTGAATTTCCATCCTTCCAACGTGCGACTATTCACTGGGGGCTGATAGAGCGAACATTCCCTTGCCTTGTGGTTGGGAAGGGGACGATGTTGCTTGGGTCGGGGAATGGCTGCCTTTTTAGTCTTCTATCTCAGAAGCCTGAAGTAAGCAGTTTATCATCTTATTTTGTAGCCTGACTTTGAAGAGTTTGTCCTTTTTATGACCAGCGGTCTGAGCCATATTCTAGTTGTATCTCAAGGAAATGAAGAACAGCCCACCCTGGGAGAAACTAGGCCCAATCCTGAGACCGAAGATGAAATACATGAGGATCACCCTGATGTGGTCATACCTCCAGGGATGAAGAAGAAGAGGGACAGGTAGCTCGAGACCAGGAAACCTACCAGTAGACATTGGGTTAGTAGGTAATGAAGTGTAATATCCAAATGTCTCAAAATCCAAGAACGCACTTTTTAAAAATATTTATTTACTAAAGAGAAAAAGAGAGATCACAGAGGGAGGGGGAGAAGCAGCCTCCCGCTGAGCAGGGACCCAGATGCGGGACTCCATCCCAGGATGCTGGGATCATGACCTGAGCAGAAAGCAGACCCTTAACCAACTGAGCGCCCCCCTCAGGAACTCCCAAGAACACACATTTTTACGTTGGATGCACAAGTGTTTCTTCCTGTTGATCTAAAAAACCATATATACAGCAAAGCTGAGATTTCCCTGAAAGTTTATGTCAAGAGGATTAGAAAGGGAAAAATGTGTCCTGTTTGTCTTTCTAAAGCTGGACACACCAGTCTGGCCTCCCAGCCTGGGGCCCTCCAATAGATTGGGACCATGTGTTATTCCTGCCAGGTCTCTCTCCTCTCCCATCTCCCCACATTCACTCCCACCTGCCTTGCGTCCTACTAAAGACATTGGAAGTACGCTCTCCCCTTTTTTACTTAAGGCAGTTAGTGGTTATAAATTGCTAAGAACCTAGTGGTTGCATATTTTCACTAATGGGTTTTTAAATATTTGAAAATGAATGTAAGGACTAGACATAGTGCTGGTTTCATGCACTGCCATTGTGTCTTTTATTCCTCGGAAGACTCAGAAAGTCCAGTTTACCACAAGAGTCATCAGGGCTATGCCTGAAACGAAGGTGGGTGAGTAGGAAGCTGAGAGGAGCGGAGTCTTGAGAGTCCATCATGTGTCTCTTCCCGATGGACAGTGCATCTTCACTGGGTTTTCTGTCAGGCATCTCCAGAACTTTCCTTGTGGTCTTATTAATGTGTGTAGTGGCTTTTCTTGAGCTATATCTGCTATATAGCTATATAGCTATAACCAGCTATATCTGCTGGTTCCTACTGGTGTCATACGTTTTAGGTAGCAGGGTGACCCTACAGTCATTGGTTCCAGGTTTTAAGTGGGATTGAGGGGCTTAGAGTTACATCAACTGCCAACATAGGGCTTCGTGAACAGTAGTACTTCATTTTACAATCTTAAAGGGGGATGATAGTCAGTGGTCAGAGGGAAGGTTTGGGTGGGGAGCGTCGCACTCAGAAAGGTACCAGACTTTATACCGGAACTTTTGAGCTCTTTAAAAGATGTTCCATGAAGCATTCATTGAGGCAGCTTGCGTAAGAGAAGTCAGCATCCCGCCCGTGCCATCGTTCGGTGAGTCTTCATCACACCTGACCTTGAAAAGCAGTTGTCTCTGGTTGTTGAATACCAACATAATAACATGAAGAGTTTAGGCCATTGGTGGAGTGGGTGTGGAGTGAGATGTGTTAATCTTGCTTTGGAAAAGTCTGCAGTATTTTTTTTTTTTTTTGAACTTAGAGACTTAGAGGCTCCATTTTCCTTTGGCCCATGTTTTTCCTGAGCAGTGGCCCCAGGCAGGCAGCATGGAGTGGTGGGGAGTGTGTTTGTCTGGGAATCTGTTTGCACAGCTTGCGTTCTGGAAGCACAGTATAACACGTGTCAAGCACTCCTACTGTCGTCTTTTAAGTAAGCCCAGAACCCAAAGGATCAAGGACAAGAACTCTCATGAGTGATTTACCTGTCTGTTCACTTTCTTTCTTTGTGGCTGCCTCTCCGCTATCTCAGAGCCTCCTCACCTTCCTCCCTGGGTGGTGGTGGGGCTGGTCCGTGAGGAAGAAAGGAAATTAAAAGCAGGGCAATTAGAGTGGGAGGGGGAGGTGGCTCCTTCTGTGAACAGGAGCAGAGCTCCCCTTCTTGGTCAGGGTGGTCGTCCCCACAGAGAAAAACTCACATGTGAACACACATGGTCTGGGAAAACTTTCTGTACATCAGAAGTAGCCCACGGGACTCAGTGGCTGGCCGGCAGGAGGACCCAGGAAGACAGGACACAGGCAGCCGTAGTTTTCATCCAGATCCCAAATTTGTCCATGATGACTTTTGATCACAGTCTGTTATCTGTTTGCTTGTCTCCTTAATCAGGCTGCGTATTAAGAACTCAGAGGTCAGAGTCTTTTTTCTTTGCTTTCCGGTGATTCTACAGAAGAGGAAGGTGTGGTTCTACTAGCTATGTTGTTGGGAGTCAGATAAGCGGTTACTGGAAATCTTCACTCACTCGCTCATTCACTCATTCACTCATTCATTCTTTACGCATCCTTCTGTTTACTTAATATTTATTAAATCCTACTATGTGCCAAGTCCTGGGCATACAAAGATGGGAGGAAATGAAATGATCTCTAAAGTTCCTTTCAGCCCGAATCTTTATGACTTAGTGAAGATGTCAGTGCCTACCCACTATAATTTATTGTGTTTCTCTCTCCATACAAAGTGTATATTCTATTCTTGGTAACCAATTTATCTCTATACATGTCATAACTGTAGAGAGCAAGTTTTTCTTTTATAAAACTCTCATTTAGATTGAAGATAATAGATACAATTCCTAAAATAAAACTCTCATTTAGATTGAAGATAATAGATACAATTCCTAAAATAATCTTTAAAAATATTTCTGGGTTCAGAGCAGTCTGAATTGTATACTTTTACTTTCTACTCCCATCTCCAGAGCTTCTTGCCTTTCTAGCATCAAAGAGAACCTGTGCTCATAAGCATCTGGCCCTAGGTGAGACCTGGAGCTCTGTTGGTTCAGAACTAAGGAGAAAGGGAGGGCAGTGTCGTGCTTTCTCCACTGACAGGGAAGTGTCTGAGCTCAATCACTGGGGATAAGAACCTGGGGATAACCAACAAACAGACTTGTAACTCCTCAAGGCCAGGTTGATACTGGACTACACTGGGCCATCCTGAACCACCCCCTACTGAAAGCCCAAGATGGAGCTGAGCAGAATTACAAAAATTGCCTGCCTTTGAGGACCAGCTCTATAAGGGCTCTTACCATTTGTTCCCACAGGGGAGTGACACCCTGCTTGCTTGTAGTCTAGAGGCCGTTTTTGTCTTTCAGCTATACGGTTTCCAACACCTCATATACCAAAACCCAGATGTAAGCCCCAATAAACCAACCAAAGAAAATGGCTGTCCACCTGAGGGAGCCTAGCAGCCAGAGAAAGGAAGCTCTACACAAAAACAAACATAAGCCCAGTGAAAAAGAACTGCTCGGGCTGGAAAAATCTTTAAGTAAAATAATAGTACTAGTACCACTACTGCTACTACTAATAACATATAACTAATAGTATATAACTACTACTACTAATAATACTTGAGATGCAAGTGCTACATACACGTAAAAAGAGACGTTCAAATTTGAACCATAAAATAGTGATTTGAACTCTAAATTCAGTGGAGAATTAGATGGTGTGATAGTCGTTTGAGACTTGATTTTAATGACTTAGAAAATCAGATGAAAGAAATAGCTTACAGTACAGAAATGAGACAGACTTCATGAGAGCAAGAGAATAAGCAATGTGGAGAACATACTGGGAAAAACCCATCTGCTAGTAAGAGAAATTCCATACAGAGAAGAAAGAATAGATGAACAAGCTATAATTCGACAAAGAATAGGGGGAAAAATTCCCTGAAATGAAGAAATAAATGCATCTGCCAATTGAAAGGGCTTACAGTCACTCAGCCTGGACTGATGCACGAAAACAGACGGGGGGATATCCTGGGAAAAAGCACTAAATGCCATTTCCAGAGAGAAAGAACAGACAGTGATGTGCTTAGCATGTCTGAAACCCCAAGCAGGTAATTGTCTTAACACCCCTCTCCTCTATATGATAGTATTATTTTTAGGGCTAATTATTGAACAAGGAAAATAATGATGGCCAGGAAAAAAACATAAATAATGAAAATTGTCCTTTGTGAAACATATAAGCAAAAAAAGAAAAAAAAGGAATATTCTAATACCAAAAATGAAACAAATAATAGGCTAATCCTGTTTAATTACATTAATGTGTTTTCTTAGAAAGGAAAAAAGCATTCATACTTATATACGTATTAGTCTATCACAGTAATAAGGTGCGAATTTTGTCTGTTAGCCTTAAATTTTGAAGATTTGTCAATGGCTTTCTCAAAATTGATCTTTACTATATATTCATGTTAAATAGAGATACATAAAATTCCTGTTTCACAATAAACTCCAGAAACTGCATTCTGCCAATAGCTTTGTTGTTTTAGTATTGATTCTTACATGCAGAGTATAAGCTACAGTACACTGTTGATTAAAGATAAGGAATGAAAATATGCCAACTTGAAGCCTACACATATATTATTAAAATTTAACGCTAACCACAGGAATTATTTAGACAAAGTTTTTTTCAAGGAGGAGTAAATTTATCACTAACGTTGTTTAGAATCACTGGTGATGCTAAAAAACAGCCCAACTTTTAATTTAAAATTGGGTTAAGATTTGTTAGAGGCAGTGCATCCCCCAGTGACTTGCACTTGGTTCCCTTCCACCAACGGCATGGTTGGCAGCATTTGAGAACAAGTTTCTTACAAGGAAAAATTCTCCCACTGGCATGGGACTTGTCATCAGACCACTGAGAGAAACCACATATGCCCTGCATCCTCATGAAGCTGGTATATCCTATCTACCTGGAGAAGTGAAGGACGATATGCTCAAGGACATGCTTAGGAATATGTGGCCTGAAAAATATTTGAAAGGAGACTTGACCAAACAAAAAATGAAAAGAGACACTTCAGCATGAGGGAGAAGAGGGAAGGGAAATGGTTCTTCTCAGAGTGGAGAGAAGAGAGCTGAAATGAAGAAGTGACACAGTATTTTAAAGTTCTTTTTCAAGTTTAGAGAAGTGGGGATGGGTAGGATGATAGAGCCGAGAAATAGTGTGCCAGAACGTTAAGAAATATTTGGAACACATGTTTTTGGTTACAGAAGCCGCTAAAAGATGGTGAACATCAGTGCCATGGGTAAGTATAATAGAACTTCTACATTAACAAGGGGAACACATGGGATGGATAGCAACTTGCTCAGACCAGAAAAATAAGGGAAAGAAAAAAAGAAAAAAGTACAATTTAAAATAAATAGTGTATATATAAAGTCAGATGGAAGGAAGGTAGTTAAGTATATGGCTATTATACTAAATATGAAAAGGTTAATTATCCCATTAAATACAGAGATTACTATTAAGGTTAAGGTAAAAAAAGGTACATTAAAAAACATTATAGTAACAATGGATCATCAATGGGTACTAAAACCATTGCATGAAAAATATATACAGTTTCAAATAGTGTTCTCACAGATTTCTTTTTATTTACAAGGTGGACACTGTAGCTTTCCAGAGGAGCAAAGAGGAAGATACCACTTTAACCACATTAATACCATTAACAATGGGAAAAACTTAAATTGTGTACATCATATTGTGGTGTATGAAGGTTACAACATCACTTAAATAATACTCCTGCCAAAGATTTTATACCCTGAAATTAATAGGAAACTACCGGTCTGTCTAATTGTTTGAAACCATCCTAAATGAGGAAAACTCTGCAAAACAGCTAAGCTGGACTTTACAAAATGTCAGTATCATGGAAGATGAAAAGGCTAAGGCCTTGACAGAGACTCAAGGAGACTAGGGAGCTAGGACAATTACAGGCAATGTGTGGTCCAGGATTAGGAAAAATTACTATTGATGGGACATACTGTAAGGTTGGTGAAATTTGAATATGAACTATTTATGAGATAATAGTTTTGTATCAATGTGAACTTTCCTGAAATATTTAGGAGGGTGAATGTTTAAAATATCTGCAGCCTGCTCTTAAATGGTTCAGTCGACATACACATAACACACACACACACACACACACACACACACACACGCACACGACAGGAGAGGAAGTGAGAGGGACAGAGAGAAGAAATGTGGCAAAATGTTAACAGTTGGTGAATCTAGAGTTCATTATCCTTGTCTTGCAACCTTCCTGTCAATGGAATTATTTTCAAAATAAAAAGTTTCAAAAACTGCACTTATCTATATTCTGTTCAGAAGAAACACACAAAAGAAATAAAATAAAAATAAAGGGATGGCAAAAAAAATATAACCAGGCAAAATAAAGTACTAGAATTGAAAACACCGAAAGTACTAAACGGGGCTGCCTGAGTGGTGCAGTTGGTTGAGCATCTGACTCTTGGCTTCAGCTCAGGTCGTGATCTCAGGGTCATGGGATTGAGCCCCATGTAGGGAGGGCTTCATGCTCAGTGTGGAGTGTGCTTGAGATCCTTTTCCTCTGCCCTTGCTTCCCTTGCCTTTGGCGATGTTCCTAGGAAGAAGTTGCTGCGGCTGAGGTCGAGGAGGTTGCTGCCTGTGTTCTCTTCAAGGATTTTGATGGATTCCTTGAGAGAGAGAATCTTAAGCAGGCTCCCTGTCCAGCCCAGAGCCTGATGCAGGGCTCTATCTCATAACTCTGAGCTCATGATCTGAGCCAAAATCAAGAGTCAGGTGCTTAACCAACTGAGCCCACCCAGGTGCCCCAAGAAAAACATTTTTAACTGCATTTTATGTTGGTCTTCTTTATCCTCCCATGAAGTCAAGCATACATGATTTCATGTAATTGATTTTTGGATTGGTTCAACAAAAAGTTAGATACATATTGTCTGATTTGACAGAAAAATACAACTTATCTTTCTATGACATTCAGTTTTTGTTTATTAAATCACAAAATATTTGTGAACTTATTATCAGTTTTAATTTTTTGGCATGGTTATTAAGCTTTACCTTACATTAATCTTAAATTATATTTTGGATTTCCACAGCTTACAAGAATATCTGGAAAGACAACATATATCTCAGTTTTGTGATGTTGAAGAGACTGTAACTAATGTTAACCATTTCATTGATGTGTTCTTCCCTGATTTTAAAAACATGAAAAATCTCAAATTAGAAAAGATCCTGGCATTACTTTGGCCAGCTATCTTTCAAGAAAAGAAAGGTAAGAAATAAATATAAATACACCCTAGTATAATTATTTTAAAAGATACTATTTTAAAATTTAACATTGAAGAAAAGCACCTGTTTCTTCATGTATGAAATTCAGAAGATTAAAATGAGGGGTGCCTGGCTCAGTCAGTCAGTGGAGCATGTGACTCTTGGTCTCAGGGTCATGAGTTTAAACCCCATTTTGGGAGTAGAGCTTACTTAAAAAAAAATGAGAACATAAAGTGCCTGGCATCTAAAGAGTGCTAGTTATTTTTAACCTTTTCCCATGTTCACATAGCAGACATACAGACCATAAGTTCACATTATAGATGGTATATGGAAATACAATTGATACGTGTATATTGACCTTATATTCTTTGACTTGCTGAACTCAGTTCTAGAAGCTTTGCTGTAGTTCCTTGGGAATTTCTATGCAGACCAAGGTTTCTCAATTTCAGACCTACTTACATTTGGGGCTAGATAATTTTTTGTTGAAAGAGGTTATATCTGTGGCACCTGGGTGGCTCAGGCAGTTAAGTGACCGACTCTTGATTTTGGCTCAGGTCATGACCTTAGGGTTTTGATACTGAGCTGTGCCTTGGGATCTGTGCTGGACGTGGAGCCTGTTAAGGTTCTCTCTCTCCTTCTCCTGCTGCCCCTACCCCCTCTAAAAAAAAGAGGCAGTGTCCTGTTGCATTGTAAAATGTTTGTAATATCCTTGGCCTTTACTCACTACGTCCTCCACACCCCCAGTGTGATGACCAAAAATATCTCCAGACGTTGTCAGTTGCATCCTTGCAAGACAGAATGTCAAGCTGAGAGCCAGTGATGTGAGCAATAAGTATCACCTGCAAATTGAGAGAGTTTTTCCTCTTTCTTTTGAATTGGTATGCCTTTTATTTCTTCTGCTTGCCTCATTGAACTGGCTAGAACGTCCTCTATGATGCTGACAAGAGGTGACGCGCCTGCTTTGTTCTTGACCTTATAGCAAAATAATTCAGTCTTTTCCCATTGAGTACAATATTAGCTCTATAGACCTTTATTTAAATTTTTAAAAATCTGATCTATTTCTAGTTTGAGGAGTTTTTTTTTTTTAATCATAAATAGGAATTGTATTTTCTCAACTTTTTTCCCCTGTATCTAAAGATAATGATTATGTTTTGTTTTCTTGAGTTTGGTAATATGGCAGTTGCTTTGATTTTTTAATATTGGACCAGTCTTACTTCCTCCAGATAAGTCACATTTGGTTTTATATTGTTCTTTTTACATATATCTGGTTTTGATTTTTTTACTGTTTTGTTGCCTTTTGTGTCTATATTCATGAGAAATATTTGTTCTTTTCTTTTCATGTCTTTATCTGGTATTGGTGTCAGGGTAATGTAGGCCTTATTGAATGAGATGAGAAGTAGGTACTCCCATTTCTCTGAAGAAAGAGTGTGTTCATATTCCATCTTCCTTAAATGTTTATTAGAATCTACCAGTGAGGAGGGAGGAGTCAAGATGGTGGAGAAGTAGCAGGCTGAGACTACTTCAGGTAGCAGGAGATCAGCTAGATAGCTTATCTAAAGATTGCAAACACCTACAAATCCAACGGGAGATCGAGGAGAAGAAGAACAGAATTCTAGAAACAGAAAATCAACCACTTTCTGAAAGGTAGGACTGGTGGAGAAGTGAATCCAAAGTGACGGGAAGATAGACTGCAGGGGGAGGGGCCAGCTCCTGGCAAGTGGCAGAGCAACGGAGCACAAAATCAGGACTTTTAAAAGTCTGTTCCACTGAGGGACATTGCTCCAGAGGCTTAACCAGGGTGAAGCCCACGTGGGGTCAGCGTGGCCTCAGATCCTGCAGGGTCACAGAAGGATTGGGGGTGTCTGAGTGTCGCAGAGCTTACAGTTAGTAGAGAGGGGAAGCCGGCTACAGAGACAGAGCCAAGGAGTGAGCTCTCAGCTCAGGGTTACCTTGAACCGGTCACAGGCTTGGTCAGCTCAGAGCATGGCCGAAGGCCAGGGTGATGGGAGTAATTGGGCGCTGTTCTCTGAGGGCGCACTGAGGAGTGGGGCCCCGGGCTCTCCGCTCCTCCGGGCTGGAGACAGGGAGGCCGCCATCTTCATTCTCGTCCTCCTGAACTCTACGGAAAGCGCTCAGGGAACAAAAGCTCCCGAAAGCAAACCCGATCGGATTACTCAGCCCGGCCCCTGGTAAGGGCGGTGCAATTCCACCTGGGGCAAAGACACTTGAGAATCACTACAACAGGCCCCTCCCCCAGAAGATCAACAAGAAATCCAGCCAGGACCAAGTTCACCTACCAAGGAGTGCAGTTTCAATACCAAGGAGAGCAGCGGAATTCCAGAGGAGGAGAAAGCAAAGCATGGAACTCATGGCTTTCTCCCCATGATTCTTTAGCCTTGCAGTTGATTTAATTTTTTTTCTTTTTCAATTTTTTTTCTCTTCTTCTGCCAAATTTTCTTTAACTTTTACCCTTTTCTTTTTTAACGTTTTTTAACTAGTTTATCTAATATATATATATATATTTTCCTTTTTATATTTTTTCTTTATTCATTTTCATTTTTTTTTAATTTTTTTTTTTTCTTTCTGAACCTCTTTTTATCCCCTTTCTTCCGCCTCACAATTTGGGATCTCTTCTGATTTGGTTAAAGTATATTTTCCTGGGGTTGTTGCCACCCTTTTAGTATTTTACTTGCTCCTTCGTATACTCTTATCTGGACAAAATGACAAGGCGGAAAAATTCACCACAAAAAAAAGAACAAGAGGCAGTACCAAAGGCTAGGGACCTAATCAATACAGACATTGGTAATATGTCAGATCTAGAGTTCAGAATGACGATTCTCAAGGTTCTAGCCGGGCCCGAAAAAGGCATGGACGATATTAGAGAAACCCTCTCGGGAGATATAAAAGCCCTTTCTGGAGAAATAAAAGAACTAAAATCTAACCAAGTTGAAATCAAAAAAGCTATTAATGAGGTGCAATAAAAAATGGAGGCTCTCACTGCTAGGATAAATGAGACAGAAGAAAGAATTAGCGATATAGAAGACCAAATGACAGAGAATAAAGAAGCTGAGCAAAAGAGGGACAAACAGCTACTGGACCACGAGGGGAGAATTTGAGAGATAAGTGACACCATAAGACGAAACAATAGAATAATTGGGATTCCAGAAGAAGAAGAAAGAGAGGGGAGCAGAAGGTATATTGGAGAGAATTATTGGAGAGAATTTCCCCAATATGGCAAAGGGAACAAGCATCAAAATCCAGGAGGTTCAGAGAACCCCCCTCAAAATCAATAAGAATAGGTCCACACCCCGTCACCTAATAGTMAAATTTACAAGTCTTAGTGACAAAGAGAAGATCCTGAAAGCAGCCCGGGAAAAGAAGTCTGTAACATACAATGGTAAAAATATTAGATTGGCAGCAGACTTATCCACAGAGACCTGGCAGGCCAGAAAGAGCTGGCATGATATATTCAGAGTACTAAACGAGAAAAACATGCAGCCAAGAATACTATATCCAGCTAGGCTATCATTGAAAATAGAAGGAGAGATTAAAAGCTTCCAGGACAAACAAAAACTGAAAGAATTTGCAAATACCAAACCAGCTCTACAGGAAATATTGAAAGGGGTCCTCTAAGCAAAGAGAGACCCTAAAAGTAGTAGATCAGAAAGAAACAGAGACAATATACAATAACAGTCACCTTACAGGCAATACAATGGCACTAAATTCATATCTCTCAATACTTACCCTGAATGTTAATGGGCTAAATGCCCCAATCAAAAGACACAGGGTATCAGAATGGATAAAAAAACAAAACCCATCTATATGTTGCCTACAAGAAACTCATCTTAAACCTGAAGACACCTCCAGATTTAAAGTGAGGGGGTGGAAAAGAATTTACCATGCTAATGGACATCAGAAAAAAGCAGGAGTGGCAATCCTTATATCAGATCAATTAGATTTTAAGCCAAAGACTATAATAAGAGATGAGGAAGGACACTATATCATACTCAAAGGAACTGTCCAACAAGAAGATCTAACAATTTTAAATATCTATGCCCCTAACATGGGAGCAGCCAACTATATAAACCAATTAATAACAAAATCAAAGAAACACATCGACAATAATACAATAATCGTAGGGGACTTTAACACTCCCCTCACTGAAATGGACAGATCATCCAAGCAAAAGATCAACAAGGAAATAAAGGCCTTAAATGACACACTGGACCAGATGGACATCACAGATATATTCAGAACATTTCATCCCAAAGCAACAGAATACACATTCTTCTCTAGTGCACATGGAACATTCTCCAGAATAGATCATATTCTCGGTCCTAAATCAGGTCTCAACCGTTATCAAAAGATTGGAATCATTCCCTGCATATTTTCAGACCACAATGCTCTGAAGCTAGAACTCAATCACAAGAGGAAATTTGGAAAGAACCCAAATACATGGAGACTAAACAGCATCCTTCTAAAGAATGAATGGGTCAACCAGGAAATTAAAGAAGAGTTGAAAAAATTCATGGAAACAAATGATAATGAAAACACAACGGTTCAAAATCTGTGGGACACAACAAAGGCAGTCCTGAGAGGAAAATATATAGCGGTACAAGCCTTTCTCAAGAAACAAGAAAGGTCTCAGGTACACAACCTAACCCTACACCTAAAGGAGCTGGAGAAAGAACAAGAAAGAAACCCTAAACCCAGCAGGAGAAGAGAAATCATAAAGATCAGAGCAGAAATCAATGAAATAGAAACCAAAAAAACAATAGAACAAATCAACGAAACTAGGAGCTGGTTCTTTGAAAGAATTAATAAGATCGATAAACCCCTGGCCAGACTTATCAAAAAGAAAAGAGAAAGGACCCAAATAAATAAAATCATGAATGAAAGAGGAGAGATCACAACTAACACCAAAGAAATACAGACAATTATAAGAACATACTATGAGCAACTCTACGCCAACAAATTTGACAATCTGGAAGAAATGGATGCATT